ATTCTCCTGTCTCTGCTTCCTTAGTGCTGGGATTACATGAACTGCACCTGGGTTTTTAGTGGGTGCTGGGTATCCGAACTTAGGCCCTCATGTTTGTGAGGCAAGCACTTTATAAACTGAGTCATCTACCCTGATACTATTTGATCTTTTGAGGCAAGGTCTCACTCTAAAACTCAAGATGGACTAGAACTTACTGTGTATCCCACACTGGTCTCTAACTCATGCCAATCTTCCTATCTCAGTCTCCTGAGTACAGAAATTATAGGCATGTGCTGCCATGCCTGACACAAAGCTGAATTTTAAAGACTGAGGAAATAAAAACTACCATTTTGAATTACTAAGTTTAATAAATGAATATTATCCACTACTCCAATAACAGGCTTCAAAATAGTCTCTTTTGTATTAAAAAAAAACCAAACAAACTCATCCTCAGGAATCAACCCAAATACCTATCAAGAGGTGAATGGAAAGCCAGATGTGGGGACCCATGTCCGTAATCCCAGCACTCAGGAGGTGGAGGCAGGAGGATCTCCCAGAAGTTGGGAGTAGAGGGTGAGGGGGCACATGAACTTAGCCTCTGGTGAGTGAGGCATATCACACAGAAGCATGTGTTGGCAAGTGGTCATGTTCCCAAAAGAAGCCAAGAGAGATAGCTACCACACTCCCCTCTGAGGTAAGCCCCAAGCAACCCAAGGACCTCCCATGAGTCCTTCTCTTTTTTTTTTTTTTTTTTGGAAATTTAAAAAAATATTTTATTTATTATTTTTATGTGTATGAGTGTATGGCCTGCATGTATGTGAGTGCACCCATGTTGTGCAATGCCACAGAGGTCAGAAGAGGGCTTCAGATTCCCCCGGAACTGGAATTAAGGACGGTTTGTATCTGCCATGTGGGTGCTGGGAATCAAACCCAGTTCCTCTGCAAGAGCAGTCAGTGCTCTTAACCTCTGAACCATCTCTCCAGCTCCCCCCCCTTTTTTGGTAACTTTTTAAATTGAATTTTTGTCATACATAATATCTTAATCATCTTTATACCCTATTCCCCATTGGCACCCTCCCATAGCCCCCCCTGAATGGAATTCAGGCATTCTATCATTTGTGCTAAGGCCTATCGTGTCAAGTTAGTGTCCCCAGATGTCTCTCAGTGCAAATTCATCCGCTGGGGTCTAGGCAGCCTATCTAGAGTCCCTCCCTTTAAGAAGACCAGCTGTTCCTCACCCAGTCATCAGCTGCTAATAATTCTTTGACTAAGATTGTGGCTTGTTGCCTAGTTCCACAATTCTGTGCTGAGTTTTTGTCTGCTTGAGTTTGCATAGGTCTTGTGCATGCTGACCATTGCTGTAAGTTCATATAAGCAGGGTTCTAGGAGCTTGTAGGATTCCATTTCCATATGGTCGTGTACCTCTTCCCTGGCTCTTACAATCTTTCCACTCCCTCTTCTGCAATGGTCCCTGAGCCCTGGGTGGGTGGAGTTTAATATAGTTCTGTCCAGGGACCCACACTCTGCAGACTCTTAATCTCCACACTTTGGCCATTTGTGACCTTTTGTGTTCCTGGCCCTCTGTTTCATGAGGGAACTTCATTGATGAGAATTGAGAGATGCATTAGTGTCCTCTTTACCCCTTGTTCTATGTTCTGTGAGCCTTAGGTGTAGAGATTACATTGTAGATGTGTCACTTAGGCTTGGGCAATTCATAAGCAATCTCTGTGACCAGTTATGGAACTCTGTAATAGTCTGTGTCTGTTGCAAAAGAGCCTTCTTTGATAAGTGGTGACTGGGATACTTGTCTGTAAATATAAGGATCACATAGTAAGAAATTACTTTTGTCTAGGGATGTGACAGCCTTGGGATTTTCTCTAAGACCTAAGACCTCTTCAGTCATGTGTATTTGGCTATGTTTACAGGCCCATACATGAGTTTCCTTTCCCTATCTCTTTTAAAAACATTTATTTATTTATTATTTATTTATTTATTCTGTGCGTATGAGTGTTTTGCTTACACGTATTTTAAATGTACCCATGTTGTGCAATGCCTGTGGAGGCCAGAAGGTAGTGTCAGATCTGGTGACTGTTAGCCACCGTGTGGGTGCTAGGAACTGAAACCAGTCCTTTGCAAAAGCAGCCAGTGCTCTTAACCTCTGAACCAAAAAAATGTTTGGGGGTTGAAGCAACTACTACTTAAGTGCTAAATAAGAATGTTTACTGTTTTGCTGACAGTTGATATTTGGTAACCACTATTTTTTTTTTGCCCCAGTATTATTGATATTTAATAAACCATACTTATTTAGAGTATACATTTTTTGTTGTTGTTGTTTTTTGTCTTTTTGAGACAGGGTCTCCCTGTATCCCCAGCTGACTTGGACTTGGATTAACTATGGAGACCAGGCTGGCCTCAGATTCACAGAGATCCACCTGCCTCTGCTTCCCCAGTACTGGGATTAAAGGTGTGCACCACCATGCCTGGCAGATCTAACATTTCTCAATCATCTGCTATGGGCTGGGGACTGGGAGAGGGGTCAGGGAACATGGCTACTGTTGAATTGAGCATACCAAACTCTCAGAACCCACACACATGCACACACAAAAATGTAATAAAAATTAAAAGGAAGAAGCTGCACACCTTAAGGTGGTATGGATGGTGTGGAAATTAACTATACTTTGTTCTTCAGAAAGCACCAGCTTTACGCTGAGGATGTAGTCAGTTTGTTGAGTGCTTGCCTGGTATGCATGAACTCCTCGGTTAGATCCTCAGTACTGCATAAGCCAGGCCTGGTGGTAGCATGTCTATAATCCTAACACTTGAGAAATAGAGGCAGGAGGATCAGAAGTTCAAGGTCATTCTCAGCTATATAGAGAGTTCAAGGCCAGTTTGGGCTACATGAGACCCTGTCAAAACAATTTACCACCACAACAAGCAACAAGCAGATTAGCCTTCTTCAAGCTCTTAAGGTGGACTCTAGCTCACCTACTGGATAGGAAACTGGTAAAGATCTCTTCGTATCTGTAATGAGGTGCTAAGCCCTGTCCCAGATAAGTTAGATCATAATCACTGGGCTCAAGCACATTAGACATTTTCTAAAGCATCTAGGTGTTTCAAGGAATTGGTGAAGTTGAATCTAAGTATTTATCCTCCCCAGTCATCCATACCACCTTAAGGTGCACAGCTTCTTCCTTTTAATTTTTATTACTTTTTCTTTCTTTCTTTTTTTTTTTTTTTGGTCTTTTTGAGACAGGGTCTCCCTGTAGCCCCAGCTGTCCTGGAACTCACTATGTAGACCAGACTGGCCTTGAACTGAGAGATCTGTCTGCCTCTGCCTCCTGAGAGCTGGGATTAAAGGCATGTGCTACCACGCCTGACAATTTTATTACATTTTTATTTATTCGTGTGTGCATGTGTGTGGTTCTGCATGTGCAGTTCAACAGTAGCCATTACCAGCCAGGCATGGTGATGCCTGCTTGTTATCCCTGTGCTTGGAAGGTGGAAGCAAGAGGAAGGAGTTCAAGGCCATTTTCCAGGTTGAGGTCAGCCTGAGCTACCTGAGGCCGTTTCAAAAAACTGAAAAAAGACCTGAGTATGGTAATACAACAGGCCTTTAATCCCAGCACTCAGGAGGCAGATGCAGGTGGATCTCTGTGAGTTCCAAACCAGCCTGGTCTACATAGGGAGTTCCAGGCCAACCAGAGCTACATAGTGAGATTCTGTCTCAAAACAACCAACCAACAAACAACAACAAAACCCCCCCAAAACAAAATACCAAATAACTCCCCTCCCCACAAAAAAAACCCAAACCAGAACAAACATTAGCACACATACAAAACAATAAAACTGCCATTACTACATTATAGCTATTTTATAGAAGAAAAAGATGATTTTTCAAAAGTACCTCTCATTAACAGGGATATGATAAGGAAAGCTGGTCTCAGTGTGAGGGCCTGCTTCTACAGCCCTCTGCTGAGCCGCCAGGTCTTTACACATGAGTCCCTTGTTCCTCTGGGAGGGTTTCACGTCCCAAGGCCCCTTCCATGTTCTCCCTAGACAGAGGCACACACCCCACTGAAGCTCTCAACCTTCTCCAGAGGCCTCTCACCAGCTATCACTTTAGCAGAGGATATGTTGCCCTCCAAGTGACCATGTGTTTGCCACTTTGGGCTTCACCAGGTCTGCAGGCACAGAACAGACCTTCATGAATGTTGGATTTGTTGAGAGCTGGATGTATAAGTGAGCAAGGCCAAGAATGAGGAACAAACCACTAGCAGGGCTCAGCTGTCAACGTGTGCTCCAGGGCCAACATGCCTGCATCTCTTCCTGCCAGGGCCTTCTAACCAGTCTTCCAAAATTGCTAGTCCCTTGAACCTGGCTCTCCTGTCTCCTTAAAGTCAGCCAGCAGGTGGGGGTCACCTCAGTGGGGCCTGTGCCAGTCACAGCAAGAAACCAGATGTTTCGCCTCCTTAGTCCATTTATTCAACAAAGTCCCCTTGGACAGAGAAGATGATCAGGCATTGTGTTCATTGGTGGGTACAGATGGGAGAGCAGGCCCAGCATGGTTCTGGGCCTCATGGAGCTTGCATTCCAGTGGGGAAGATAATTAACCAAGTCAATGCACAAGCACATTCATACCAACCACGGAAAGAAATAACGGGGACTTTTGGGATGAATGAGTAGTCCGGGAAAGCCTCCTGGAGGTAATACTTAAGCTAAGGCCTTAGGAGCTGAACTGGGCTATGAAAAGGGAAGGGAGAAGCATTCTGGGAACTATATGAAAAGTCCTGAAGGTGATAATGTTGGGGATATAAGGGCAGGTCCCCGAGATGAGGTGGGGTGGGGATAAACGCCAAGCAAGTTTGAGACTAGCAAGACATAAGGATAGAAAATTTGGGTTAGGACCAAAAAAGGAAGAACCTGATATTTTTTTTTTTTGTCTTTTTGAGACAGGGTCTCTCTGTAGTTCCAGCTGACCTGAACTCACTATGTAGACCAGGCTGGCCTTGAACTCACAAAGAGCCTCCCAAGAGCTGGGATTAAAGGCGTGTGCCACCATACCCGGCAAGAACCTGATTTTTATCTTTAGAACAGGGTAATGGAGATCCAGATTTTAGGCCAAATTGATAATTTTTGATCTGTGCATGTCAGGCTCTCTCTTTAGCAGCTCTTGAGAAGTGACTGGAAAAGCAAAGCAGTTAGGGCAGTGATCGTGGGGACAGGAGCCACGGCCAGGCCCAGGCAGTGGCTGTGGGTTTAATCAAACTCTGGACAGATTCCAGGGATATTTAGCAAGTAGAATCTAGTAAAGGTTTCCAGAACTAAACATCTTTATTGCCTGTCTGCAACACACTGCTGTGGGACGAGGGGTCAGGTGTGCCAGGAAGGCTTGGGACTAGAAACAGATGACATGGATACTCTGGGAAAAATACACAGTCACCCGCCCATAGTCTTCTGTGAGAAGCAACCCAAGACAAACCAAGATGCTGAAAGAAGGGTGGGGCCACCTCTGTCTCATCTCCATGTTGTCAACAGACTGTTCTACAATTGGGTACCTGCAGCATGGTACCTGCTTCCCACAGCCCTGAGGTTAAGTAAACACTGAGCTTTTGGATAGGACTGCAGTAAGTAAAACCTTAGTATGCTGAGACTTCTGTCATCTCTTCTGTCTCTCTCCCCATTCCCAGAAGCATGCATGCTGTCTTGGCCTCCCTATGCCCGTCTCCCTCAGTGGGCCAGTGACCTACTCTTCAGTGATGTTATCTCTCCTTGTGGCTGTGCATCCCACAATGGGTTCAATAGGGCAGCAGTATGAGAAATCTAGTTCCTGCTGGGCGTGGTGGCGCACGGCTTTAAGCCCAGCACTTGGGATGCAGAGGCAGGAGGATCTCTGTGAGATGAGGCTAACCTTCTACACAGTGAGTTCCAGGCCTGCTGGAGCTACAGAGAAACGCTGTCTCAAAAAGATCAAAACAAACAAAAAAGAAAGAAAGAATAAAAGAAAGATCTAGCTTCCACTAAGGCAGGCAAAGAAGTCTTTGCCTCTATCTTTCCTCGAGGGACTGGCCTATTCAAAAGAACTTTCTGGGTCACTCAAGTGACCTCTGCCTTCTGCCCCATTTTTCTGAAAAGTCCTTTTCCCCCAGGGCTTTTTCAAACTCTACTTTTGTGCCCACAGACTCCTCACTGCAGCCTCTGGGGACCACCGTTCCATCAAAGGCTGGGGTGGGAGACGCTTTCCAAGGGTGACCCTGAGAGCATCTATAAACAGTGTGGCCTGAGCACAATGCCCAGTTCCAGGTTTCCACAGTCTTGACTTTGTCAGGCATTAACCAGGGTGATCCTGGGGGGATGCTGGGCGGTACTCAGAGGCAGATATGTTTCCACACTTTGTCCACTGACAGGGCAAACCAAAATGTTGATCCAGTCTCTGCTGTTCCACTGGGATTGGTCAGCAGGCCACATATTCCTCTTTTAGAGGAAAGTGGCTGAGACAGGGCTGGGGGAATGAGTTGGCCTCTGAGCAGAGCCAGCTGTGTGAAATCTGGGTGAGCAGGCTCTCAGGCCCTCGACCCACTGAGTGACCTTGAAGGGCCTGGCCGCCTCTGATTCTTCTCCCCCCTACCCCTCCTCAGAGCTATTTTTATCCAGCCTGACAGCCCTTGGCTGTGGCAGCAGTCTGGGCTCTGGGAGCCGGATACAAACCAGGCAGCTCAGACGTCTGGTGCTGAATCCCAAGAGGATACCTCTTGGGGTGCCATTATGTGGGGCCATGGCTCCTCTACACTGTACGCCCCATGGGGAGGGACTATGGCCCTAGAGGATGGTGTTTGAGAGGCAAGGAGCTGGGCTTCTCCCTTTGCTCAGCCCTGGCTCCTGCCTGAAGCCCTGTAGGGGTCTGGTGGTGAGGACTCCCCGGCCCCCAAAGCTTTGCTGCTCTGGAGAATCCTCCTGGCCTGGCTTGTCAAGCCCACAGGGAACAAACTGTTAGTCTGTTATCATGTAGATGTTTGAACCTCAGAGGAGAGTAAGAGCAGGTCCTGTTGGGTCTCAATATCCAGGCTTTGGCTGTACTGGAGAACAACAGATCTGTCCTGTGGCTCACTATGATGGGGTGGCCCAAAGAGACTTCTTGGTGACCCCTTCTTCATTTCTGTCTTTGGAAGTGAAGCCGACATTCCAGGCTATTGGTTTGGGATGGCTGAATTCCATCACTGCTTCTGACTTGGGTCTAACATCTTCCTGTGAGCAGCCTGCCTCAGGCCCTGGTATCCTTTAGGTTAAAGCTTCAACTCCAGACCCAAAGTTCATGGGCACTAGGCAGAAGAGAGGTCTGGGCTGAAGGCTTAGGAACATTTAAATCTGTGCCAATGGGAAATAGGACCAAGGCTCTGAGATCAGAAAGGGATACAGGGAAGTCAGGTGGGTGAGCTGGGGTCACGGGTAGTGGGGGGTCCTGACAGATGAGGAAGGTGCCTTCATTTAGAAATCTTTCTTGGAAGCAAAACAGGAAAAGGTGGTGCCATTTTTAGAGCTCCTTGAAACAAAAAGAAACTTCTCGTTCCTAGGAGATGGGTAGGATGGGGAGCCAGCTCAGAAAGCCCCAATTTCAGTGATTTCAGAGACCCAGGAGTGGCAAAGTACTGCCCCTGCAGGCCTCCCAGATGGCCCCATGGGAGATGGACTGGAGATGGGGCCGGCCACATCGTCAGCTGATTTCCCAGCCCTAGGGACCCTGGGGGAGGAAGACGACAGGATGGGGACCATGTGGCTGCTCCTGGCAGCTCTGCTGCTGCGGGTCGTGGGTGAAGGGGCAGGTGGCCTCTCAGGAGGACGGGCCCTCTGGGTGGAAGATGCGTCTCGACTGGGCAACAAATTCCTCCGGGCTGGCAGGATGGTTCCAGTGGCTCTGTGTACTGGTGCTGACCGAAGGGCTGAGAGGGGGTAAGGGGGAGAGGAGGCACCATGAAGAACAGGGCCGGGCACTCTTCCCAGGATGGCAAGCTGGTTGCTCAGGGCTGGCAGCCCTGGACAGCTATGGAGGAAGGACCAGGGCCACACAGGGAAGGCCAGAGCATTGGTGGGTGTGGGTAAAGGCTCCATCTCTGCTGCGTAGCTGTTAAGATGGGACAGAAGGCGAATCCGTACGGGGTCTGCATGACTGCTGGGTCCTTCCAGGACCCCCAGGTACCTGATGACCTCAGTGAGGCACTCCCGAAAACCAATGCTCCGGAAGTCAACTGCCAGGGCTCGGGCATCAAAGAATCCTGCAAAGTGAAGCATCATGAAGACAGGCAAGGTAGGGGGAGAACAGAGACCCGGGGAAGACCTCCTATGTGTTGGACCTGCCCAGCCAGTGTAGCCTACAATGACTTGGGTGACCCTGGGCATGTCCTTTCACCTCTCTGAGCCTCAGTCTTCCACCTGTAAAGTGGGAATAAAAATCCTTATGTGGGAGGGGAGGCAGTGAGTTGTGAGGATCAAAGGAGCTCGCTATAAACTATGCTGCATTGCAAAATGTATTGTTTTTATCACAATTCATGATTAATGCAAAGGAGAAACCCTGTGGCCAATGTAACATTGTTAATCAGACACCTGCTAGATGTGAAAAGACTGAGCATGGAAGGTGTAGAATAACCTCACCCACTGATAGGATGCAGGTTCAGGGAGGGGAGGTGATGACAGCGGCCATCAGAGCTGGAGGGCCAGTTGGAGAAGGTCCTATAGTGTGGTAAAGCAAGAGGTCTTTGGAAGCCACCAGAGCTGGGCTTGAATCACAGCTCTGCCACTTGACTGGCCACCTGACCGTGGATGAATGTCCATAAGACTCAGTTTCTTAGTTTTAAAATGGGGGAGTTTTAAAATGCTGTGCAGAATTGGGAGGGTGAGATAAAATGGTATCCAGAAATGCTCTGTAACAGAAAGGTAGCTACCATTTATACAACTGGCCTGGTATTGATCTGTTTGTCCTCCAACTCAGAAGGCAGTCTAGAATGCAAGGCTACATTCTGGTCCTCCCCAGCTGTCATCAGGCAAGGACTCTGCTTGGTTTGATGTCACTGAGGAACAGCCAGGTGGACAGTACACACAGACGTCCACACCCTAACTGCTGCTCCATACCTGCCTTTCTCTCAACCACCTGGGCAGAAGGAGCAGCACAGCCAGCACCAGCCTCCTGATTGAGTCAGCAAACGACTGGTCCCTGGTTCGTGGCTGAGGCCCCTCAAAGGGATAGCTCAGCAGGGGACTGTAGAGTCTGGTCAGTTGAGGATGAGACCTGGTTCTGCTGGATGTGCAACTATAAAACTATGTAAAAGCCGGGCGTGGTGGCCTTTAATCCCAGCACTCAGGAGGCAGAGGCAGGAGGATCTCTGTGAGTTCGAGGCCAGCCTGGTCTACATAGTGAGTTCCAGGACGGCTGGGGCTACAGGGAGACCCTGTCTCAAAAAGACAAAAAAGAAAAAAAAAAACAAAACTGTACACAGTCCTTTACCTTTTTGTGCTTGCTGTTCTTTTAAAAATATTTATTTACTTAGAGACCTGGTCTCATGTAGTCCAGCCTCCAATTCACTGTATAGTTGAACTCTGAACTTCTGATCCTCCCATTGCCACATTCCAAATGCTAGGATTACAGGCATGTGCCCCTATGCCAGATTTATGCAGTGCTGGGAATCAAACTCAAGGCTTTATGCATGCTAGGGCAGCACTCTACTAGTGGACTACATCGTCACCCCTTAAATTTTTGTTTGCTTACTTATTTTTAGATAGGGTCTCACATAGTCCAGGCTGGCCTGGAACTCACTGTGTAGCCTATGATGGCCTTGAACTCCTGATCCTCCTGCCTCCACCTCCCAAGTGCTAGGATTACAGGTGTGTACCACCACTGTGTTGTGTTGTTCTTTTTTTTTTTTTTTGAGACAGGGTCTTCCTGTAGCCCCAGCTGGCCTGAAACTCACTATGTAGACCAGGCTAGCCTTGAACTCACAGAGGTCCTCCTGCCTCTGCCTCCCGAGTGCTGGAATTAAAGACATGCACCACCACACCCAGTGTGTTCTTTTTTTATCCTCATTAATAACCCTCTCATTATTCCCACTTTAAAGCTGAAGAAACTGAGGGCAGAGAGGATAAACCATTTGTCTAAAGTCACAAAAGTAACAAGCTTCAGAGCTAGACTCAAATCAAAAGCTGGAGCTCTATCTAAACCTCAGCCACAACCCCCTGACTTCTCCATTAGCCCTGAACCAGGGTGGTGAGGACAACTCCACCTTCTGCTTCTTGTGAGAATGAGATAAGTGAAAGTATTTTTAAAAATCTTTTATTATTTTTTATTTTATGTGTATGCGTGTATTGCCTGCGTGTAGGTAAGTGCACCCCTGTTGTGCAATGCCCACCGAGGACAGAAGAGGGTGTTGGATCCCCTGGAACTGGAGTTAGGACAGTTGTTAGCTGTCATGTGGGTGCTGGGAATCGAACCCAGGTCCTCTGCAAGAGCAGTCAGTGCTCTTAACCACTAAGCC